AAGTTTGGAAAGATACAAAGAAGATTAGCATGGCCACTGCTCAAGGAGAACACACAAAATCGTTAAGTTCCATTACACCTTGGAATGCTGTAGATCAAGAAGATTATCTCCTCGGTGGCGACATGTAGTGTGGACGTCTAGATCCTGGGAGGACTGTACCACCCAGCTGACGGTCACATTGACCCCTACTCCCTCACCATGGCCCTGGCTGCGGGGGCACGGCGGTGGGGGGCTGACATCCGCCAGGGGACCTCCGTCACCGCGCTGCGACGTCGGGAGGACGGGCTGTGGGTCGTGGGCACCTCCGCTGGGGAACTGACAGCCCGACATGTTGTCAATGCTGCAGGTACCGTGGTCCACGATATGTCTTCAATGCTGCAGGTACTGTGACATTGGACTTTTTGACCGAAAGCCAACCTCGCAGGTTGTCTGTTAAAGATACACTTCGTTTCAAAACGTTACTTTGAATTATCGATGTTATATATCTCGTTATACACTTGAGTTGCGATTGTATTGAAAAAATTGCTCGAAATTTCTTCTTCTGTGCAGTTGCTCTACTCTTGAACAAATCTTGATCATCAGTGGCATCATGATTATCTATCTTGAATTCTTCTCTTTATTTCTTCATAGTTTCTCATCCAGTCCAAACCTTCTTCCTACTACAGCTCTCTTTTTTATCATTCTTTCTTCATTAATCCATTTTACTCTCTTTGTTCATATGTCCCATACACTTCTTTTTTCACCAACTATAATACAGATAGAGTACGTAGGAACGGAATCAAACATTACTTTAAACATAAGTCAGTAGCGCGTCACATATACAAGAAATTATACCATTTATAACATAGCTTTCTACTGTACTTATTTCCAGTGATTTGTTAAATACCTCAATCAAAGAATTCCTTACAAGTACTGGATATAGAAGCGGGAGAGCACAATACAATATCAGATGATTTCATAAAAATTCATAGCGGTTTGGTTGGTTAAACCACTGGAAGGGTTCACCAATGATAAGCCAGGCCCTCCCAATACGGTAAGACAGTATGAAGTGTTTTATTGATGAAAGAAAAACTCGTGCTAGGAATGGTATCAAAACATACTTTTCTGGTAAAGTTGTTAGGCCAAATTTCTGGCCAAAATATAGATGAATACTTTGCCGGGAGGAAATTGTTCTATAAAAGAATCGACACCTCTCCCGTTACAACTAAGCATCATTTATAGATTACTAGCGAATGTGTACCCGGCTTCGCCCGGGTTTTATCCGAGTGAAAGTTTGCCTAACGAATATTATTGATAATGATGTTAATAATATTCATTACATTATATATTCATATAATATATTTTCCGATCAAACATATGCTCTCTCTCTCTACTGAATAGATTTAAAAAAAAAGATATATATAAATAAAAATATCTAGAGATATACTAAATGATCTTAGCCAAAAGGCCGAGAAACGATATTTTATATATAGAGACGACCTGGCTTCGTGTGTCTTCTGCTCGAGTGAATGTTTCGCTGGTAGAATTTTGTTCCTGCTTACTAATAATTATTATCTGGCTTCGCTCGTGGACTGCTTTAGTGAATATTCCCCTAAAGAATTTTGTTTATGTCAATCAAGCATGATACAGCAATATTGTCATAATCATTTCTGACTAAAAAATAATTGTTGCTGAGTACTTGGCTAATTATAATTTTTCTTGGTTAAAAGTGAGACAAAAAGTTCTTCCAGATATAATTCTCTGTCCTGCTCAAATTTTAGCGAGATTAGTTCCCGGCTTCGCCCGATTTTTACCCGAGTAAAAGTTTGCCTAACAAACATTTGTTAAAACGATTCTAGCAAACATCCAATCCCTTCTGAATCTATACTTGTCTATACTCTCAATAATTTGAAAATTTTCCGGTTCCCTTGAAAAATACTCGATAAGTTGAAAAAAATCAGTATTAATTGGTCCACTCGGTAATTTAAAGTTGAAGGAATAGTATCTTGCTACAAACGAAGATTTGTAAATAACTGTATTTAGCGAATGTACCCGGCTTCGCCCGGTTTTTAATCCGAGTAAAAGTTTGCCTAACGAACATTTGTTAAAACGATTCTAGAAAACATCCAATCCACCTACTCGTATATATTGATTTATAAACGTATATAAATATAAATATTGTTATATGCGTTTAAATATATTTTTGAAACACATAATTCTTTTAAAACATTTATTATATTTTAAATAAAATATTGTCACTTTTATGAATTTTATAATTATTTTTTTTTTCTCAATGAAATATATATATTAATTTAAAAATTCATTTTTGTTATCATCATCACATACAATGTAATTTTTTATATAAACAAACGATAATAAACAACAACAACAATGTAATTTGCATCTTCATTATTATAAAACAACAACAAATTAAATTAACAATGTAAAAAATATATTTTAACATTACATTTTAACATTTAACACAAAAATGTTACAATATTTTCTTTAAATATATATTAATATTAAAACGCCAAGTTCTTTTTACGTCATTGGAATATTATATTAATAAATTCTCAAATTAAATTTATTATACTTTTAACACATTTTAAGCATTGTTACAATTTATAAAGAAAATTTCACCAGACGCCGCTAGAGGCGCTGCTTGCGAGTGAAAGTAGAAAATTTGCAAATAAAATTACAAAGAATATTTATTTCAAATCAATTTCATACCAGAAACCTTCCCAGTAGTATAGTAAATAACTTCCTAAAGTTTCACGGCGATTGGATAATCTTACCTTTTAAAAACAATCATCGTGTGAAAAAATAAGATTCATCGTGTTTACAAACCACGTGTAAATTATTAACCAATCAAATTCATTTATCGTCGCGACCAGTGCTGCGCCCAAGCGGTAAAAGGCCTGAATTAACGCTTTTTTGGTTTTTTATTTTTTAAAAAAAGCACATTAACCTTTTTAGTTTTTTGAATAGCCTATATGTTAAACGAAATCTTCAGCTACCTACATGCGAAATTCCATAATGATTGAGTCAGTAGATTTTGCGTGATGCGATAACAAACATCGATTTCGCATTTCATTTTTATAGATATAAAGGATAGACAACAACAACAAAAGCTTTATTAAGACCTTTTAGTCTGATTATACAGATTCTCCAAGCAGAAATATAGGATACATGAAGGAGAAACAGTGATAGGACTTAATGGTAACATGATATTTATATACAGGGAGCTAATAGATTAATCTGGGCAAATTGAAGGCAAAGAAAGTTACTATACATAGATTTACCACAGATTCTCGTGTTAGGTCTTGTGGAGTTATTTGGTAGCAGCTCTGAGACATTTCTTAGCTATGTAAAACTTTTCCTAGTCATCATCCCCGCCCTTTGACATTGCCGGTTGGACTTCACTTGTAAGCATTTCGACCTGTGAGTCAATCTATAGATTATAGATCAATATTCTATCGGCAAAATTTTTATCCATATTTTATATCGAATAAAGATATTAAGACACGAATGTTTCTTTTTACAAATGAATCAAACTTCTACTGTCTACTGCGATGAAAGAATGATCCAATACAGTATTAAAGCTAGAAAGAGGCGGTCTGGTAGATTAAATTGGAAAACCCGCTGGGAGGGTTCACCACTGATAAGCCAAGCCCTTCCAATATTTTTTCATTGCAGTAAGGATAGTAGAAGTTTGATTCATTTATAAAAAGAAACATTCGCGTCTTAATGTCTTCATCCATTATATATATATGGCGTGTTATTTCTTTGTATTAATCAATATTTTAGTCAGAGATTTGGCCAGACCACTTTGCTAGCTGAAAACCTCTTTGGGAAATTATGAGAATTTCAGGAATTCCGTGCGGATCTCACGAAAACAAACCCCGCCCTGGACTGACGAAGTCCACTAGCCAGAAACCACATGGATGCTTCTCAATTTGCCAAAGCTGATGTTGTGGCTATGTCACCGACCAAAGTCCACTTGTGGGAGGAGACGTTCAATATATACCACTTAGCTTTAAAGTTTGTGTTGACAGGAGTGGCGACTTTTCTTTTTATAGAATTATTGTACAGTATATGTGAATGTATAAAAATACTATATGTTTTATATTACAAATTTCTAAAAAATCTGATGTTAGTGTACTCTAAACTTTCTCAATCTTTGATGTCAGACTTTTCAATGTCTCGTCTATTGGCGTTTATTTGGATTTATGAAGAAGAAATACCACACAGTCCCACATACAACAATTATGATAAATATTTATTGAAGAGTTTCTGTTTTTAAACATGTTCACTGTATTATCAAGGATTTAAAGTCAATATAGGAGAATTAAGTCCAATTACTGGAAGTTTGCGGTATAGAAATCCAGGTGGACTTAGAATTTTTAAAATTTCATATGACAAATGGTACAATAGAAAGATACAATTGGAACTCCAGACCTCCACCATAGCTAGCTAATATCGTGTATTAGAAATGTTGGCCACTGTTTAGTATGTTTGGTAAATAAAGAACCATTTTATCTTTTTATTTTATTTTCAATTTTTTTTATATATGAATTTTTAATATTTTTATTTTCATAATTTTGTTTTTTTAATATTTGATTTTTTAAAAAATTTCTTATTTTTTAATATTTCATTTTTTATATTTTCTATTTTTTATATAGAATTTTTTAATATATATATTTTTTTATGATTTTTTTTAAATTAATTTTTTTAAATAATTTTGCCACGCTGAGTGAGGGACGCCCCCAGTGACTGGACGTAGTGACTTCACTGGGGGAACGGCGGACATCTTGGCTCGGACCTCAGCCGGGAGGGAGCGGGGACCGAGGGACGGCCCGCTGGAGGACGGCAGACGGCGCCCGGGCGGTGACGAGGAGCAGCAGCACCGCGGACTGAGGACATCGTGGCCCGCGGTGCCTCGGTGGTGACGGCCGGGGGCTGCTCCTGGACACGCCGTGTTGGAGACAAGGTCAGAGATGGGAGCCTGGCTTACCTCGCAGCCGCCCGGGGGTCTGTCGTCCTCCAGCTCTAGGTCCCCGGGAGTGTCGACGGCAGGACTCCCGGGGTGGCGGCCGTCCTGGTGTTGTCCCCACATCTCACGGCTGGCCGAGCCGCCGCTCGTAGCTCCCTCACTCAGCGCCATTACAATAATTTGTCCTCCATTGTTGTCCTGGATTCTTCTAGAGAGACGGAATTTTTTTATCATTTATTCTGACTCAATTGGTTCGACCTTTGGTAAACAGAAGTTAAAACATAATTATTCTTTTCAATAATAGGATGATGGCAATTTGACCAAATTATTCCTGATAAATCTCAACTTTCAAACATTTCTTGCTGACATTTCCTGGACTCAACCAACAAACTCAGCTTGGAGGAATATGTTCAACTCTTTCTCGGAATCGTTAAAATTGATCAATTTCTTGGAATTATACAATATGATTCTTAACACCTTGAATTACTTTAATGATATTGATGCTCTGAACATATCTTGTAGCGAATTTGACTCATCCCAGCACAATTATACAATTATACTTGTAGTTGTTGTTAATGTCCATCATTTAGTAGTTTTATGATCAAATATTCTTCAATTTCAATACAAAACATCGACTTTTGGCAACTATATATATGGACAAATATTCTCCAATTACAATACATATATGTTATTATTAGGTTTCATCCAGTCCAATTCGAAGACTATTTGGACAAATATTCTCCAATTACAATACATATATGCTTTTTTTGTGTTCATCAAGTTTTCTTGGCCACTTCTAGCCTGCTCATTACAGATCTTCCTCTCTTCCAAACCATTTTCTTACATTATGTGTTCAGAGTATTTGACAACTATGGCCCAATAAATGCGTTGACCAAAGAAGACTCTTTATCGCAAAGAAATAACACAGCACGATGAGTAATTCACAATCTACCATCTAGCGAGTAACAATAGAGATTTGTTTTAACCCAAAATAATTAGAAATTAATGGGAAAAAATGATGGAATTCCTGTCAGAATCGTTAAGACTCTTAAATTAACAGCATACATATACACATATCGTTACATTGGACGAAATCATAGTTTATATATCTCAATAAATATAAGGGCGTGAAATACAGAGCTTCGATATGAGATTACTTAAAAGTTTCATGATTGTGTCGGGTTTAGGCACAAGAGGGAAACCCAAGATTTGAAAAAAAATTGAGGAAATATTAAAATCGATTCATAATATCATGGGAGAGCAGTATTGAAGACAATTTGTGAAGTTTGAATGTTATATTTGAGCAGAGAATATTGAGAGCCTAGGCTCTGAGATCTACCTCAGGGTTAACCCTAAATTACAATGAGCTATATTTTTATTATCCCTAGTACACTCAGTTACAGGCCATGATAATCATGGTGAGTAATAATTGGCGACTGATTTTACTCTAAGTGTACCTCTTTTACATATGTAGAACACAATTTGACTTCTACACTTACAAGTGTCCAAAAGCTCCGTCTTTTTGCTTGCACTCACTGATAGTGTTGGACTTTGCACGAATCAGGCAGTCTTCCATTGAAACACTTTTTTTTTCATTTTTTTAAAGTGTCCAATCGAGATTCAATTCAGGGTGAAGGCTGTCGGGGATCGACAGTTTGTACCACTCATCCACCGACACTACACCCATATGGCCCACATAAACAAATGAAAACGGAAATTTCTGCAATCTCATATTTACTTATCCCTACTGAATTAGCCTTATACCGATCTTATAGATATCTGTGCGTATATACTACTGAAAAATCCTAAAAAGTAAGAGATACACTAAATCAGAAAGCCTCTAGTAAAGTTGTCTGAAGATCTGGAAAGAAAAAAAAAACTTAAAAAAAATACCTTGATAAAAAGTTCAATTTTATGTTGTTTACTAGCTCTTGATATTTCTCAGCTCTGTATTTGCCCAAAAGTTTCGAACTACCAAGACGAACGAGTTTCAAACACTGAATTCATGTTTATTCCTAAAGTTTTTTTGACAAAATTGTGGTGATTTATGGGCTACTGTATCTGAGGGCCATCAAAATACCAGCCGTCATGATTTTAACCATCGAGTACAGGAAATTTACGCTTTGGGTATGGAAAACAGGACTCCTTATGTTTTAGGGTTTTCATAAGCTGTTTCATCACCCCAATATTAAAACTTTTTAGGGAAAAATGATTTTTCTCGAGAAAAAAAAATGCGTAGGATTAATGGTCCTTTCGCCAACATCCATGTTCTCCCTTTAAATCAGACGCTTCTTATCCACTGATCATTTTAGATATCTTATTTCAGAGACACAAGAAACATCAATATCTCGTTTGGCTACCTTTCTGAACGAGAAGAAAATCCATCATTCATCACGCGGAATCGCCCTCTCCACTCCTTCATCTTTAAGAATGTGGGCGTCCCTGCTCTTTACCAACCAGCCGTCTCAGGACAAGACAGTACCTGGTGTAGGGACTTTTCCCCTCTGCATATGTCATACACTTCTTTCACGAACAATAGTACAGATGAAGTACGCAGGATCGTAATCAAACCTTGATTTAAACATAAGGCAGTAGGGCGCCATATATACACAATAAATAATCTCATTTATAGCATAGATTTCTACTGTACTTATGTTCAGTGATTTGTTAAATACCTTATTCAAGAAATGCCTTACAAAACTGGATATAGAATTAGAATAGCCCTATACAATAGCAGATGCCTGCTTCTAATAATTTAGCGGTATGGTAGTTATTTACACTGGGAGGGTTGACTCCTGATGAGCCAGGCCCTCCCAATATTTTGCCAATACAGTAAGGCCTGTATGAGGTATCTTATTGGTGAAAGAAAACGCGTGATAGAAACGGTACCAACACATATTTTCTGTCAAAGTGGCTGGGTCAAATTTATGGCCCTGGAAATTTTGTCGGAAGGATATTAATATATGAAAGAATGGCCACACCTCTCTTGGGTCAAAACGAACATTGACACTGAGCGCCATCTGTACTTATAGATAAATATCTTCCTGGTAGGTATTCTATCTATATTTGGTCTAACCACTTTTCCAACTTAACGCCTCTTTGGAAAATTGAGAATTTCAGGAATTTCGTGCGATTTCATGGAATCAAAGCCCGCACTGAACTGATGAAGGCCATTAGGCCGAAATCATGTAGGCGCTTCTCAATTTTCCAAAGCTGATGTTATTGTGTTACCAACCAAAGTGCGCTTGTGTGCAGAGATGTTCAATATGTGGACTTTGTTTCAGCGTTTGTTTTGACAAGAGTGGTGACTTTTATTTTAGGATTATTGTAGGTATGTGAAGGTTCAAAAATACTTTATTTGTGAAATAATGCAATTCTACAAATCTTAGTTAGGTAGTGTACTCCCAACTTCCTCAGTCTTTGTTGTCAGACCTTTGTCTCGTCGATTGATGCTCATTTGGATTTATGGAGAAGAAATATTGAGAAGAAATATAAACTATACAGTCCCACACACAACAATTGTGTGTGTGTGTGTGTGTGAAATAAAAATTTATTTAAAAGTTTCTTTTTAAACATGTTCACTATTATTAACGAAGATTTCAAGACAATTTAGGACAATTAAGTACAATTACTGGAAGTTGGCGGTATAAAAATCTAAGTTAACTTAGAATTTTATAAATATTGTATGACAAATGGTACTATAAAAGTACACAATTTGGACTCAGTGAATCCAGACCTCCACCATAGCTAGCTAACATCGTGTTTTAGAAATGTTGGCCACTGTTTAGTGTATTTGGTAAATGAAGAAAACATTTTATTTACTTTTTTTATTTTCAAATTTTTTTTATATATATATTTTTTATTTTTTATTTTTTATATCTGATTTTTTAATAATTTTATTTTTAATATTTTTATTTTTTATTATATGAATTTTTTTTAATATTTAATTTTTTCAATATTTCGTATTTTTTCATATTTCATTTTTTATATTTTTATATTTTTATATAGAATTTTTTAAAATAGAATTTTTTTCTTAATAATTTTTTTTTTATAATTTTGCGGCGCTGAGTGAGGGGCACCCCCAGTGACTGGACGTAGTGACTTCACTGGGGGGAGCGGCGGACATCTTGGCTCGGACCTCAGCCGGGAGGGAGCGAGGACCGAGAGACGGCCCGCTGGAGGACGGCAGACGGCGCCCGGGCGGTGACGAGGAGCAGCAGCACCGCGGACTGAGGACGTCATGGCCCGCGGTGCCTCGGTGGTGACGGCCGGGGGCTGCTCCTGGACACGCCTTGTTGGAGACAAGGTCAGAGATGGGAGCCTGGCTTACCTCGCAGCCGCCCGGGGGTCTGTCGTCCTCCAGCTCTAGGTCCCCGGGAGTGTCGACGGCAGGACTCCCGGGGTGACGGCCGTCCTAGTGTTGTCCCCACATCTCACGGCTGGCCGAGCCGCCGCTCAAAGCTCCCTCACTCAGCGCCATTACGATAATAGTATCTTCATTGTTGTCCTGGATTCTTCTAGAATGTATAAGGCTATTCAAAATATTTTATTCTAACTCTTTTAGTATAATCTTTGGTAAACAGAATTCTATATATAAGCATAAATATTCTATTCAATAATATGGTGATATCCAGAATTGCAATTTTACAAAGTCGTTCCTTGTAGATCTCAAAGTTCAAACATTCCTTGCTGAAGTTTCCTGGACTCAACCATCCATCACAGCTGGTTGGAATATATTCAACTTTTCCCTCAGAATCGTTAAATTTGATCCTCTTCTTGGAATCATATATGGATCTCGAACTCTTAAACCAAATGATACTGATGCTATGAATATATATTGTAGCGACTTTAACTCATCCTCGTACATTTGTTTTTGTTGTTAGCGTCCATCATTTAGTGGTTATATGGACGAATATTCTGTAATTGCAATACATATATGCTTTTTATACTGTTCGTCAAGTTTTCTTGATCCCTTCTAGCCTGCTCATTACAGAACTTCCTATCTTCCTTCAATTTCCCCATCATCAACGTGTTTTCTAAACCATTTTCTCACATTATGTGTCTGAAGTATTTGACAACCATGGCCCAATAAATGCGTG